GAAAGGGAGCCGACTCAAACCTTATTGTGAAGCGATTAAAGATTTCCAAGTGACTTCGATCACTTTTGCTTGAAAATAAAGAAGCAACGTCTAGCTGAAAACTTTAAACATAGCGCTTCTCGGGAGGCAACCCGAGCTTTATTTTTTTCGTATTTTTCTCTAATTTTATGTCTTGTTTTTATTTTTATAGGCATGCATACTAATTAGTTTACTTGATTTTGATTTTTCAGGGTCGAAATTGTGGTCAGGAGGTCCAGATGGCTACCCAAAAATCCAAGCAAAAGCTTGGACGACCGTCTGAAAAAGAGAGAGTTAGACTAAAAACTCACGAAGATTGAGACGGCCGTCCGGATTTTAGTTCACAACCCGGGACGGCCCTCTGAGAACGAGAGGCTGAAATCAACCTTCATATGTTGAGACGGGCGTCCGAATCAAAGCACACACCCTCGAACGGCCGTCCGAGAGGAAGAGAGGGCATCTTTGCAAGAGGAAAATCAGACTTTTCCCACACAAAATCAGGTGTTTTCTATCCTTGAACTTTGCTCTTATTTCGTTGAGGGCGACGGAAATTTTAAGTTTGGGGGTGGAAAACATTTCTTTGTGCTTTATTTGCTTTAGTTTGCATGGCTTAGGTTTTATTTATTTTAGTTTTGTTTTTATTTCTTTAAAAACAATTGCTTGAGTTGGATGCATCGATGAGTTATGATGATGAGAGATGACCAAAGTTTGATGATGAGATTGCTTGTTTTGTTGTGATAAGGATTAGATGTTTGTTTAGCTTTCGATTCAATGAAACTTATAAACGAATTATTCCTAGAAATCACACTTTGTGCATTGCTCTTGTTGAATGTTTTGTTTTTAAATTTGAAATTAGTTTGTGTTAGATCATGCTATGTTCAGTTTTAAAACCCACCTTAGGAAACTTATGATACAAAGTATTGAGTAGTGAGCGATTCGGGATATGATTTGTGCCTTCTTTGAACCGTTTCAGCCTTTCAAGCCGACTTTTATTATCCAAATTATCCTTAGAACCTTGATTTGAGCATCGGAGAAAAAATTACCCCTTGGATGTTAGTTGGAAAATTTTATAAAAGTCATTCTTCTTCCTAAAGGGAAAAAAAACAAAGAAGAAGAAGAAGAAAAGACTAGAAGGGAGAAGAAATGACTAGTTGTTGAATTGTTTGTGAAAGCTCGATCCACTTCCTCAAGAGCAAAAGTGGAGACTTTTGAAATTATGAGAATCGAGTTTTTTAAAGTCCTTAAAGGTGAATTCATTGTTTCAAACGCCTATCTTTCAAATTTTGGCGTAATCACCTAAATTCAAGAAGCATAGCCACTTATACACATATTTCCTACCTCGAACCAAAGAGCGTAACAATTGAAAACCAAAAATCCCCAATGATCCCAGTAACTTAATATTCGGTATTAGTATAGTAGAAGAATTTGGTGAGTATTTGGAGTCAAACATATGTATGTAAGCATAATTTTTTTTTCTATCTTTAATTTATATATATTGGATGCTTGAAGCAATTGCATGATCTGAAAACGTGAAGTTGATCATTAATCTATGTAATGAGATGTAGTAGTTGAGTTATCTGCTTACGATTAGTTTTTGTTCGAGGACAAGCAAAAGTTCAAGTTTGGGGGTGTGTTAAGTGTATATTCTTACACTTAAACATATCTTTTAATTTGAGCTTTTGGTGTATTTTATTGAGAATTGGTGCTTAAAGTGTTGATTTATTTTGTTTTAGGTACAAATTGAAGAATTGGATAAATAGAGGGTCAAAACTGCAATTTAGAAGAAAATATGGGCGAAAAGTGAAGAAGTCAAAAATCTGAAGAACAAGAGCCCAGACGACCGTCCGAGAAATACACTTGGAATTTTGTTAGCCAAATAGCTTGTAATCCAAAGTGATGATCAAACAAACAATTGATTATGGAACTAATGAATTGTCTTGAGTCTTATTCTTATTAGATATAAAGCATAATCGAAGGCCCAATGCCCTTGAACCATCTCGAGAACAAACCCAAACGATCCTTCACATTTACTCACAAGGCCCAACTCTTATAATCTTTTATTTTCGATAAGCATTTTTTTTGGGGAAATTCATTTTCCAAAAAAATTAAATTCTCTTTTGAAAAATATGTTTGAAAGGATCAGCCAAATCCCACTCTATCTATGTTTGCTGGAAATATATTTGTAAGCAAAAGATTTCTTTTATATTCTATCTTTGGAAGAAATTCATTTATTCAAAAATCAAACCTGCTTTGAATTGAAGTTTGGCTGATTGAGACTCTATCTCTTCATTTTGGGAAACCTTTGCATTACTTCGCAATCAACCAAATCAAAGATTTATAATAATTGTTGTCTGTCCGGAAGATGCTCACTTCTGCCGGAAGTTGTTCTGCTGAAATTTGTTTATGTTGAAGAAAGTTTTGTTCTTGATTTCAAAATTCAAATGCTTTCCTATTTGAGCTGATGTAATTGAGTCTAATCAATCATAACCTCAATCAAGTCAATCAAGAAAATCAAGATTGATGTTTTTCCTTTGGAAGATAGAGGAGCTTACCTATAAATAGTGATCGAAGTCACTCAAGTAAGGCACGAAAGTGAAATTCGAAAAAGAGCTGAAAAGAGTTGTTTCCTGAAAATTTCAAGTCCTACCTCTGGTTGTTCATTTGAGTCCATATTTTGAGTGAGGAATTTGTTAGATATTAGTTAGCCCATTCAATTCATATTGTGAGGTTCATTGATAAGTGCGAAAGTTATTAAAGTCTTGTAAGCACTTATTGATAAGTGCGAAAGAGTGAAGCTCTTGTAAGCACGATACTTGTGCGAAAGTTGTTAGAGACTTGTAAGCACGCTAGTTAGTTGGAGGATATAAGGATTTTGGAGGCACGAGAATAAAGGTTCAAAGGCTTGGAAGAGTGGATTAGGAGATTCTCTCAGAACCACTATAATCACGGTGTTCTTTACTTTACGCATTACTTTCAATTTCCGTATCTCACACAATTTTCTTGCTACACTTTCTCCTCACACTTAACGTATAAACTTGCTACATTTTTTAAATCAACTATAACAATATTTTCTAAAGAACAATTCATTATTCTATTAAGTGCTTAAAGTCAGTTTAATTAAAATCGAAAAAGTTTATTATAAAACATAATTCACCCCCCTCTTAGGTATATTTACTCTCAAATTCATACGGCCGTCCGAATATTTTCCTCGGAAGAACAGAGTCTCTGGAATTGGATGGCCGTTTGGAATTTGAAGTGCAAATCCAGACGGTGGTCCGAGAAGGCGTAGAGGCGCAGTAACAGAATTCTAATTGCACAAGAAAACTGTATTTTTCTCCACCTTATAAAAGACCAATTCAAGCACACAATTAATGGGGGATCTTTTTATGCAATTTCAAGAACAAAGAAGCAATAACGAAGACGAAGGATTCGAAGACTCCAAGCATAGATAATCTTCTATGAATTATTTTAATTTTGTTTTTACTTTAATCATTAGTAGCTAAATCTTTTATTTCTAGGATTTTATTTCGAACCCTATGTGGGATTTATGAACCATTTTCCATGATTTTATGCAACTTTTAATTCCGGATTATTTCTTCTACTTGTTTTATTAAGTGCATGAACTTCATCACTTTATGTGCTTTTATGTTATTGTTAATCGCATGAATCGGAAGTTCGGGTTAATAATAAGAATTGTGGTAGAAGAGAATTTGTGGTATTAACATAGGAATATAGTTAATCTCTTAGGTAGCCATTATTGATATTTATGCTTCATGTTGTGTTCTAGAATTAATTGCGTAGGAGTACAACAATTGAATCTAGAGTATTAGAATCGTAATACACGCGGAAGCGGTTTATGATTAATTTAGCATTACAGATTAGTAATCCGATTTGATAACTTACATAATTGAAGGAATTGGGGGATTAATAACCACATAGGGGGAGAATAAAATCATAGGCTTATTTACTTTGATCAATCTTCGTGTTTAATTGCTTTCGTTGCTTTTTATTGTTTAAATTACTTTAATTGTTTTAGTTAATTTAGTTTATTTCCTCAACTTTCGACTGTGTAGGGTGACTGATAATAATTGGTAGAATTTAGCGTTTAGGATTAAATAATTAAATATTCTCTGTGAGATCGATATTCGGACTTAAAAGTTCACTATATTACTTGTACGACACGTGCACTTGCGTGTAGGTATTTCAACCAACACAAAACCATAGCCACTCACCGCGCCATTGCCGGATTTGGAGACGCAAATCCGCTATCACCTCCACCGTCAGATGCCATGACCAACGAACTAGTAAGTTTTTCTTCTTAGATTTTGGTCAAAATGTTTTATGGGTACTTCAAATTTAGACGTTTTGAGCATTGAAAGATTTTTATTTGTAGATGGGTGCTTCTAATGTGGTCATTTTGAACATTGATTTTTATTTTTGTGATTTGTTCTTCGACATGCTATTTTTCACTTGCATAATTCCGAAAGGTGGCTGCCGTAAGTATTGGAAAAATTCAACGCATAGAGAGTGCCGTTGCATTTCATTGTGCAATCGACAAGTAGTTGTCGACTTTAATTTTCCAGTATTTTCAACAGCTAGCTGTCGAAATTTAACATTTTTTTTAATCGTTTAGTTTCTTGTTTTTAGAGCATATATTGACTTATGCTCTTTTTTTTTTTTTAACTATTTGTAGTGACTCGTGAACCTCGTAAACCATCGATTGTTACTCACCGTAAGAGAAAGGCCCTTGCCCTTACAAAGCCCCAGGACAACGTACACGTACACAGTTTAGCGAAGGTCCTTCCTCACTAGCCGCCATACCGAATCTCGTGTCGGGTCTACCCGCTCCACAGGTCTGATCAACCTTGAAGCCAGTGGTCCGTGTAGCCAATCTGACCCACCTACTGTTGGAGGTCCCGAAATAACGAATTTGATGTCGGCATTTGATTATAAGCACATTTTTTATCATATTTTTTTTCCAGAGGTGCTGAGCGTGGCAACGAGTTACCAATTCAGAATCACATGACCACACTGCAGAGCTGGGATCCATCGTCATTTATTACTGAAGCCGTGGAGAGACCTAGATTGACGTATGTTCTACGTGCCTCGTACAAGAATGTGGACGACAATCTACTGAGATCCTTCGTAGAGAGATCGCAGCCGGCTACTAATACATTCCATTTGCCGGTTGGAGAGATGGCCATCACACTCGACGATGTGAGCACATGACACGGTTTGTCGGTCGTTGGGCGGGAGTCCCGTAAGCTGTGAGCGTTTGACATGCAAGTCCGAGCCTGCCATGAATGTGAAGTACCGATGGCTAGTTCAAAGTCTGGATGAAGTGGATAAAAAGAAGACCCTCAAGATGGAATGATTGAAGGATACCTTCAATGGGAAATGGTGTGGAGATGAGTAAGTACGTCAATTCGACTTTCTTTTTCGGGTTAAATGGGTATACCGTATGAAACTCCTCACGGCCCATTCTCGGTGCTCGACTCGGCGTGGTTCAGTGGGATGATGTGCTTCATGGACGGCCTCGAGCCGTATCATCTGGACAGAGTCTTGAGGCAGTTCGGAAGAGTCCAGCTTTATCCAAGACGACCATACAAGTCCAAATCAATGTCCAAAAATATGTCAAGCAAAGGACGATCCGGTCAAAAATCGGTATTCACTTCGTACGGCGAGTGGTTCTTGTATCGGTGAAAGAAGTATTGTCTGGACGAGGAGTCCCAGTTCCGTTGAAGTATTACTTGGAGAGACAAACACTTCACCAGACTACATGGACTAGTTCCAAGCGTGATCCTTGATACAACTCAGTACGGCCTGGCTGTCGAATTTAAAATATTTCGTTTAACAAAAAACAATTGATTTTTTGTAACTGTTTTTTTAACCAAAACTTAATTTGGATATGTATTTTGAGGTATATTGTACTAACTATCGTGTGATTTACCCTTTTTTATAAAAATAAAAACTATATTTAATTGAAACAGTCTATTATCCCAACAAAAAAAATAAAAATTTAAAGCTCGTTTACATTGCTATAACCATCATCCCCACTAGTAATTATAGATATACTCTCTCGCATAGCTACTTATTGACTAATTAAAGTTCGAAATGTTGTAATTCGAGCATCCATCTGTAGCCTTCCAACCGTCAACCTTAGGATTATACTTCCGATACCAAAAAAGGTGACATGAAGGATTGGACAATCCTCTTTTAGACAGGCATGCACAAAGTGACAATTGTTGAGGAATGTTATACCGGGCTCTTGCCTCTCTTTAAATAACAAAGAATCGCTCAAAAGAGGAAGAAACGCAAACACTATTGTTTGATTAAGTAGACAAGCACGATTTTGTACGCTGAAGAAATTATATGACTCATGTGTGGAAATGACATCCAATGCTCACGACTGGTAGGTACATCCCAATTGCTCAACTGGAATTCCAAGTTTTCAGAGGTTTGTCCTAGATATTTCATGGCCAAGTAGATATTATAATTCTTTCCTAACTCATTTATCATGTCCCAGCGTACTCGAGCCTATTCATTTGCTCCAAATCCTATCATCGATGCAACTGCCTGAAATCTAAAGTTGTCATCTGATCCAACATTGATGATGTCGTTTATGTACATATGAAAACATGTATCGATATGCAATATACATACCCTTAATACTCATTATTACGAGCAAATTTTGAACCACCGGTTTGAACGACTCTTCTGTGGTGTAGTGCACTTGTTCGACTCTTGCGCCGGTAAAATGCTCTTATTCGACATGTGTCTTGAATGACTTGGTTGGCTTCATATGCTCACAAATCGACTAGAGAAGGGGGTGTACTACCTTTTTTCATAGGTATGAGCTACGGTAAATCGTTCGTAATTAATTAGCACAGTTTAAAAATGCAACAAGAACAATGAGGCGAGTATTGCGAATTTTACCTTTGGAGAACAACTAGCTTGCTTCGATGTTTTTGCTTTTGTCTGGTAATACTCAAATTTGGATTTTTCACGACATGATGATATGTCAATCTTCTTTTTTGCAGGTCGACCTTTGCTGACAACCTTTTCGCTTAGCTCCGTAAGTTTAGTCCTGTCAGGTAAATCATATTTCTCAACTGGTTAAGCAATTTATTCCTTAAAGCTACATCACCCGAGTGAAATTGCTTGTGGAGTTCTAACAATACATCATCATCAATGGGGAGAATAACTTCGTCTGCATCCACGACTGTCTCCATACTCATGGGCTTCCAATACGAGCCTATCAAGTCAAGTGGGATAGGACATTTATTTAAACAGTGGGTTGTTCTGATGGCGTAACTACAAGACATATCACTCGGTTCCAACTCCTTAGCCTTGTCCACCTCAACTTTTAGTTGTTTAAGAGATAACTTAGAGATATTTCCACGAAGCTCATTGTACATAAACAAGTTGAAAGCGTGTAGGTACGTATTTTTGCTTACTTTAAAAGATTCTTTGATGGTGTGTATTGTTTGAGAACTAGACTGTGGATTTTCACAAACAAATCCACGGAGGTAGATGTTGAATTTAGTACGCCTCCTTTCAGCCGTTCGCCTGCCCTCTCCGCCCTATTTGAAGTGTACGTTCCAAAATAAGTACAATTATTTTTCCATACTGTTATAACCTTCTTCTTAGATGGATCCAACCATGAATTAGCTAAGGGAGTTATAGCTGTTGGATAACCAATAAATGATTCCTTCATTGCCCCTTAATCGTCATTGAAGACCACCACATTATCTCGTTCAATAAGAGCCAACCAAGACGGCTGAAACGACTTTTACTTGCTATTGTCATTCAATATTTTCTTATAATTAGCCAATATATTCTTGTTCACATGCCACCGACACAACAAGTGATGGTTGGATTGGTACGCATTCAATACTCTTTCATCAAAGTCAAATCTTGATATGTTATAGTGCAATTGGGAGGAGTACACTTTACCATGACCTCCACCAAGCTACGTAACACTCATTTTTAAAATTTTCTGTCTTTTTGTGATCCAAGTATGCGAACGCAATGAAGAATGTCATGTCATTACAACTAACACCTACAATCTCCAAACTAGGATTCCGTAATGATTTGTTTTGTACGTGAAATCCATGACGGATATGTAAGGACATGCCAACTTAATGGATTTAGAGTGGATCCACAACAAGTCGCTAATCTCACCAAGCTTGTTCAATTGATGATACGATAAGTATTCACCCCTCTTTCAACTTCGCGAACAATAATTGCAATTGAGATCTACTAGATAACTCTTCAAAATTTATCGTCACATCATTTTGCTTCAGTAGGCTTAGAATTGCCATTGGTTTCATCACTTCTTTGTTCAAATGTTGAACAAGTCAAGTCTCTTCTTTTATTAATCTTCTGATATAAGAGTATCCTTGCAATTTTTCAAACAAGTTGTGGCTGTGATATCACTGAGACAATCAACTCCCACCCAACATTTTCATCTTAGCTGCGGAAGTAAATAT